GCGTGAGGGTCCTCCAGAGTCACCTGTGGTGCGTGAGGGCCCTCCAGGTGTCACCTGTGGGGCGTAAGGGCCCTCCAGGGTCACCTGTGGGGCGTGAGGCCCCTCCAGGGTCACCTGTGTTGTATGATCGCCCTCCCGGGGTCACCTGTGGAGTGTGAGGCCCCTTCAGGGGTCACCTGTGGTGCATGAGGGCCCTCCAGGGTCACCTGTGGTGCATGAGGGCCCTCCGGGGGTCACCTGTGGGGTGTGAGGCCCCTTCAGGGGTCACCTGTGGTGCATGAGGGCCCTCTAGGGTGACCTGTGGTGCATGAGGGCCCTCCAGGGGTCACCTGTGGTGCATGATGAGGGCCCTCCAGGGGTCACCTGTGGTGTGAGGCCCCTCCAGGGTCACCTGTGGTGCATGAGGCCCCTCCAGGGTCACCTGTGGTGCATGAGGCCCCTCCAGGGTCACCTGTAGTGCATGAGGGCCCTCCAGGGGTCACCTGTTTGGTGTGAGGCCCCTTCAGGGGTCACCTGTGGTGCATGAGGGCCCCTCCAGGGTCACCTGTGGTGCATGAGGGCCCCCCTTCAGGGTCACCTGTGGTGCATGAGGGGCCCCCTCCAGGGTTACCTGTGGTGCATGAGGGCTCCTCCAGCGTTACCTGTGGTGCATGAGGGCTCCTCCAGCGTTACCTGTGGTGCGTGAGGGCCCCCTCCAGGGTTACCTGTGGGGCGTGAGGGCCCTCCAGTGGCCACCTGCGGTGTGTGAGGGCTTTTTCAGGAACACCTGTGGCGCATAAGGGCCCTCCAAGGGTCAGCTGTGGAGCGGGAGGGCCCTCCAGGGTCACCTTTGGTTCATGAGGTCCCCTCCAGGGTCGCCTGTGGTGCGTGAGGGCCCTCCAGGGTCACCTTTGGTTCATGAGGTCCCCTCCAGGGTCGCATGTGGTGCATGAGGGCCCTTCAGGTGTCAACTGTGTTGCGTGAGTGCCCTCCAGGGTCACCTTTGGTCCATGAGGTTCCCTCCAGGGTCGTCTGTGGTGCGTGAGGGCCCTTTAGAGGTCAACTGTGGTGCGTGAGGGCCTTTCAGGGTCACCTGTGGGTGCGTGAGGGCTGTCCAAGGGTCACCTGTGGTGCGTGAGGGCCCTCCAAGGGTCACCTGTGGGTGTGTGAGGGCCCTCCAAGGGTCACCTGTGGTGCGTGAGGGCCCTCCAGGGTCACTTGTGGGGCGTGAGGTCCGTGAGGGCCATCCAGGGTCACCTGTGAGGGGGGCTGTATGAGGGCCCTCCAGGGTCACCTGTGGTGCATGAGGGCCCTGCAGGGGTCACGTGTGGTGCGTGAGGGCCCTCCAGGGTCACCTGTGGGACATGAGGGCCCTTCAGCGTCACCTGTGGGGCGTGAGGGCCCCGTCCAGGGTCACTTGTGGTGCATGAGGGCCCTCCAGGTGTCACCTTTTGGGCATGAAAGCCCTCCAGGGGTCACCTTTGGGGCATGAGGGCCCTCCAGGGTCACCTGTGGTGCATGGGGACCCCGTCCAGGGTCACTTGTGGTGCATGAGGGCCCTCCAGGGGTCACCTGTGGGGTGTGAGGCCCCTTCAGGGGTCGCCTGTGGTGCATGAGGACCCTCCAGGGTCACCTGTGGTGCATGAGGGTCCCTCCAGGGTCACCTGTGGTGCATGAGGGAGCCCCCTCCAGGGTCACCTGTGGTGCATGAGGGCTCTTCCAGGGTCACCTGTGGTGCATGAGGGGCCTCCAGGGTCACCTGTGGTGCATGAGGGCTCCTCCAGGATCACCTGTGGTGCATGAGGGCTCCTCCAGGGTCACCTGTGGGGCGTGAGGGCCCTCCAGGGTCAGCTGTGGTTCATGAGGGCTCCTCCAGGGTCGCCTGTGATGCATGAGGGGCCTCCAGGGTCACCTGTGGTGCATGAGGGCCCTCCAGGGTCACCTGTGGTGCATGAGGGCCCTCCAGGGTCACCTGTGGTGTGTGAGGGCCCTCCAGGGTCACCTTTGGTTCATGAGGTCCCCTCCAGGGTCGCATGTGGTGCGTGAGGGCCCTTCAGGTGTCAACTGTGGTGCGTGAGTGCCCTCCAGGGTCACCTTTGGTCCATGAGGTCCCCTCCAGGGTCGTCTGTGGTGCGTGAGGGCCCTTTAGAGGTCAACTGTGGTGCGTGAGGGCCTTTCAGGGTCACCTGTGGGTGCGTGAGGGCTGTCCAAGGGTCACCTGTGGTGCGTGAGGGCCCTCCAATGGTCACCTGTAGTGCGTGAGGGCCCTCCAGGGTCACTTGTGGGGGCGTGAGGTCCCTCCAGGGTCTCCTGTGGGGCGTGAGGGCCCTCCAGGGTCACCTGTGGGGCGTGAGGGCCATCCAGGGTCACCTGTGGTGCATGAGGGCCCTCCAGGGTCACCTATGGTGCATGAGGGCCCTGCAGGGGTCACCTGTCGTGCGTGAGTGCCCTCCAGGGTCACCTGTGGGGCGTGAGGGCCATCCAGGTGTCACCTTTTGGGCATGAAAGCCCTCCAGGGGTCACCTTTGGGGCATGTGGGCCCTCCATGGTCACCTGTGGTGCATGAGGGCCCCGTCCAGGGTCACTTGTGGTGCATGAGGGCCCTCCAGGGGTCACCTGTGGGGTGTGAGGCCCCTTCAGGGGTCACCTGTGGTGCATGAGGGCCCTCCAGGGTCACCTGTGGTGCATGAGGGTCCCTCCAGGGTCACCTGTGGTGCATGAGGGGGCCCCCTCCAGGGTCACCTGTGGTGCATGAGGGCTCCTCCAGGGTCACCTGTGGTGCATGAGGGCTCCTCCAGGGTCACCTGTGGTGCATGAGAGGCCTCCAGGGTCACCTGTGGTGCATGAGGGCTCCTCCAGGGTCACCTGTGGTGCATGAGAGGCCTCCAGGGTCACCTGTGGTGCATGAGGGCTCCTCCAGGGTCACCTGTGGTGCATGAGGGCTCCTCCAGGGTCACCTGTGGGGCGTGAGGGCCCTCCAGGGTCAGGCTGTGGTGCATGAGGGCTCCTCCAGGGTCACCTGTGGTGCATGAGGGGCCTCCAGGGTCACCTGTGGTGCATGAGGGCCCTCCAGGGTCACCTGTGGTGCATGAGAGCCCTCCAGGGTCACCTGTGGTGCGTGAGGGCCCTCCAGGGTCACCTGTGGTGCATGAGGGCCCCCTCCAGGGTCACCTGTGGAGCGTGAGGGCCCTCCAGGGGTCACCTGAGGGGCGTGAGGACCCTTCAGGGGTCACCTGTGGAGCGGGAGGGCCCTCCAGGGTCACCTTTGGTGCATGAGAGGCCGTTCCAGGGTCGCCTGTGGTGCATGAGGGCCCTCCAGGGTCACCTTTGGTTCATGAGGTCCCCTTCAGGGTCACCTGTGGGTGCGTGAGGGCCCTCCAAGGGTCACCTGTGGGTGCGTGAGGGCCCTCCAAGGGTCACATGTGGTGCGTGAGGGCCCTTCAGGTGTCAACTGTGGTGCGTGAGGGCCCTCCAGGGTCACCTTTGGTTCACGAGTTCCCCTCCAGTGTCACCTGTGGTGCGTGAGGACCCTTCAGGGGTCACCTGTGGGTGCGTGAGGGCCCTCCAAGGGTCACCTGTGGGTGCGTGAGGGCCCTCCAAGGGTCACCTGTGGTGCGTGAGGGCCTTCCAAGGGTCACCTGTGGTGCGTGAGGGGCCCTCCTGGGGTCACCTGTGGGGCGTGAGGGCCCTCCATGTTCACTTGTGGGGCGTGAGGGCCCTCCAGGGTCACCTGTGGTGCGTGAGGGCCCTCCAGGGTCACCTGTGGTGCATGAGGGCCCTCCAGGGTCACCTGTGGTGCATGAGGGCCCCCTCCAGGGTCACCTGTGGTGCATGAAGGCTCCTCCAGTGTCACCTGTGGAGCGTGAGGGCCCTCCAGGGGTCACCTGAGGGGCGTGGGTACCCTCCAGGGGTCACCTGTGGAGCGGGAGGGCCCTCCAGGGTCACCTTTGGTGCATGAGGGGCCCTTCCAGGGTCGCCTGTGGAGCATGAGGGCCCTCCAGGGTCACCTTTGGTTCATGAGGTCCCCTCCAGGGTCGCCTGTGGTGCGTGAGGGCCCTTCAGGTGTCAACTGTGGTGCCTGAGGGCTTTCCAGGGTCACCTTTCGTTCACGAGTTCCCCTCCAGTGTCACCTGTGGTGCGTGAGGGCCCTTCAGGGGTCACCTGTGGGTGCGTGAGGGCCCTCCATGATCACCTGTGGGTGCGTGAGGGCCCTCCAGGGTCACCTGTGGTGAGTGAGGGCCTTCTAGGGTCATTTGTGGGGCGTGAGGGCCCTCTTGGGCCACTTGTGGGGGCGTGAGGACCCTCCAGGGGTCACCTGTGGGTGCGTGAGGGCCCTCCAAGGGTCACCTGTGGTGCGTGAGGGCCCTCCAAGGGTCACCTGTGGTGCGTGAGGGCCCTCCAGGGTCACTTGTGGGGCGTAAGGGCCCTCTAGGGTCACCTGTGGGGCGTGAGGGCCCTCCACGGTCACCTGTTGTTACGGCCGTCGCGGGTCGCAACCGGGTTCTTTCTCTGATGTAAGTAGAGTTTGGGTATCCGGCCCCAAGCTAGTAGTGACTTTCAAGGGATGTGATCCGTAATGCAAGTAAATAAAAGGGGAAGGGAAATAAAGGCAAAAACGTAAAAATATAATTAACACCGTCACCATAAATAATATAAAGATTATCACAAGGGGGAGGAATAAACACTATAATGTACAACGTTGTCTTCTTCTGAAGACTCTGGACGTTCACGGTGCTCACGATGCTAAGCTCTTGGTGCTCTTGTGGCCTTACGATGAATCCTTCGATTCTCTTGAGTCTACCCTGGCCACGGGCCAGCCAAATCACAGTTCCACTGGGGGCACCGTCGTGGAGGCCATCAACCACAAGTCCAGCCGGTAGCTGGCAGGTTCCAATCAGCGACGCTGGTTAGGCCACTCCATGACCGATACTAGGGTAGCGAACCCTAGTCAGGAACCTCGTGTGATCCCACAGGTCACTCTTCTTTCCACAACACCCCAGTGGTTAAGCGTCTCCACCACTTCACAGGGGTAGCGAACCCTGTAATCAGATACGTCATCAGTAATAGGGACACAAACAGGAACCTCGTGTGATCCCACAGGTCACTCTTCTTTCCACAACACCCCAGTGGTTAAGCGTCTCCACCAGTCAGTCCCGGGTATGACAATCCCTCAACTGCCACTTCACAGGCAGGCTAACACCACAGTGTTCATCCGGGGGGCGACTCACAGCTGCTGCAGCAAATACTTGGAGACAAGATGGCTGCCTTGGGTAGACTGATCCAACTTCCATTACAGCAGTCCCAGGTCGACTCTGTAATCAGATACGTCATCAGTAATAGGGACACACTAAGGCACGTCACTTACCGGCTCAGACCCAAACGCCCACCTATCCACTCCATAGATGGCATTGCTGTCTAAGCGCCACCTCACCAGAGGTCAGCAGCGGCTGTGTTATGAGCTGATCATGACGGGAAACTAGCCCTTGTGGCTGGTATTTCCTGTCCTCACTTGATGGCGCCGTCCATTTGGAGGGGGTTTCGAGAACTGACCCACAGATGACGTGGTCGTCACTGCTCCGGGCTCGGACGCTGGGCTCGGGTCCGTAACACCTCCCCACCAAAAGGAATTTGGTTTGGGGTTCTATAAAGAGAAACACAAACCAAATTAGTACGGGGACACAACTCCAAATGGACTCACGTACACTAAGAACTGGAATGGCGAGGATGTCCTGTCCACAGAACTGTTCTGATGGGAAACTCTGGCACAGATGCAACTTGCAGATGGAAGGCGATGACCTGCCTGATGTAATTTTCCACACCTCCACTGGGATGTCAAGCAGGGGCATATTCTCGCGTGCCTCGAGTAAGGATTGGTGTAGACACGCTCTGGGGCGACTCGACACTTCCCAGTGTCTTGGCACCGATGATGGCTGCTCACAGACGGCATTTCTGGTACCGTTCCGGCAGTCCTTCGGGGAGACAGGAACCTGGAATACAGGGGTCTGATCATTTAGAGTGACAGCGACAGTAAGCAAGTCAGTACTTACAGCATACACCTCTACTAGGCCCACACCTAGTTCCAACAGGGCTGCTCGTATACCGCAGATGGTGTCTGCTCTGCCACCATTAGGTCGACCAACGTTCCGCATAATGCAGCTTCCAGGCTCAGCAATCATGCAGGGGGTGTCAACCTGTCGGAAACAGTCACTCATAAAATCATCTTTCGTACCTCCTGTATCTACCATCACCTTCCAGGTCCCTTCTTCGACTGCAACACTTACGGTGCACGTCTCCAACCCCTGGGATCTCTTCACGATGTTCATGGGAGCCATCATCTGTCGGGTCGTCCACTGGTCCTTACTGAGAACACACACGAGAATAAAACAAAATACCGCTAAGAAACATTTGGTTAACTTAGGGACAAGTTTCATGAGCTTGTAATGTCCATAGCCAGCTATATCCATTAGCCTGGTTTGGACCGAAGAGGGCACTAGACCCTTCACACATACCACACATACCTCCGACGTCTGGGGAATCTCTGGCCGGTTCAATGAACGTGGTATCTTGCCATACCGCAAGTACTCATCTGCCTTCGCTCCAGACTCTGGGGTATTCGTGGGTGTCTGTATAAGAGGCCTCTCTTCCTGCTCAGTTGCTTTTGCCACCATAACCTTATGCTTCTTGTCGGGAGAAGAATCAGGAGACTCTACTAGGATGCTCTCGATCTGTCGGGTAGAGGACAAATTAAACATGTTACCTGATTCCGGGTCTGACTGTACCTGGACATTACCACTGCCTGCTTTTACCTCAGACCTTGCTGTTCCGGCTGACTCGTCCACAATCTTGGGATGATTGGTGCTCCAATCTGTCACCAAGTCGTTGGCTAGTATCACGTCAATCCCAGCTATAGGTAGGGTATCGACTACTGCCAACGCACATGTGCCGCTGAAATAAGGCGAGTCGAGATGTACCGGCACTAAGGGGGCGACATACTGCGTCCTAGGAAACCTGACTAGGACAACCTTTTGTCTCCTATCCACACTCATTCCCTCGGGTAACGAGCTACTCACGATCAGGGACTGGGCCGCTCCACTATCTCTGAGCACTACAACAGATGTACCAGTATGACCACTCGATACATACCCGCTTGAAGTGTGAGGGGAAAACAATCTGGATTCTTCCTGACTAGTCATCAGGGACGGGGTTCCCTCTGGTGGTTCACACAGCTCACTAACATCACCTCCCTACGTGGGCCGCTACCTCTTCTGCCTCGGCACATAGCAGCTACATGCCCTTTCTGCCCACAAGTCCAGCACACCATATTCCTCCTCGGACTCCGATGTTTCGGACTGTTAGGACTAGTCCTTCGAGGGCTACTTGGGGGCGTCTTCTCAGCGCTTCGTGGGACGGGTCTCTCCTCTTCCTGATGAGGTTTGTCAAACCGGCGTGGGTAATTCCTCGGGACGTACTTAGCAGAAGGCCTATGCGTTAAGATGTACTCTTCAGCCATGGTGGCTGCTGCACGTAAGGTCTCTACCTGTTGCTCTTCTAAGTATGTCTTGAGGTCTCCAGACAAACAATCCTTGAAGTCCTCTAACAGTATGAGCTGCTCGAGGTCTTCTTTGGTCTCCACCTTCCGAGAAGCACACCATTCCTGGAAAAGTCGCTCCTTGATGGTCGCGAATTCGGTGAAAGTGTGCTCTGAGGTCTTCTTCAGGTTTCTAAACTTTTGCCTGTATGCCTCAGGTACCAATTGGTACGCCATGAGCACTACCTTCTTCGCCTTGTCGTAATCGCCAGAGTCATCAAGGGACAACGTGGAGTAGGCGATTTGGGCCTTCCCAGTCAAGACGGACTGTATCATGATGGCCCAATTCTCCTTTGGCCACTCCAAGGAGGCTGCGACTTTCTCGAAGGCCGCGAAGAACTTCGAAACTTCCTTCTCGTTGAACTTCGGGACCATTTTGATGTTCCTCACCGGATCGAAAAGACTTGTGTCCGTCGTTTGCCTCCGACGACCGCTTAACCGCAATACTTCTAGCTCATGTTGTCTCTGTCTTTCTTTTTCTTCTCTCTCTCGCTGTTTCTCTTCCCTTTCTCGCTCTTCTCTTTCTCTTTCTCGTTCTTTTCTCTCTCGTTTCTCTGCTCTTTCTCGCTCTTCTCTTTCTCGTTTCTCAGCTCTTTCTCGCTCTTCTCTTCTTTCTTCTCGTTCTAATTCTAAACGCCTCATCTCTAATTCTTTTCCTAATCTCTCTCTTTCCATTTCTTGTCTTTCTCTTTCCATTTCTAATTTCTTATCTTCTCTCTCTCTAACTTTCTCTTCTCTCTCTTTAGCGATTTCTAGCTTTTTCCATTCTATTTCACGATGGATCTCTAGTTCACGCATTTTCACAGTAAGTAAATTTATATTTAGTTCACTCTCATCACTTTCGACATCACTGCTCTTACCTTCCTTTTCAGTGGAAGCTATTTCCTCACCTTCCTTTATACTAGGTGCCTCGCCTTCCTGTTTCTCCTCTGCCTTCAAATGCCGGTGAACCTTGGACAAGATCTCCACACGGGAATCACTGGCACGGATCTTGATCTCCAGGTAGGCACTCACCAGTACGAGTTCCTGTTTGCCCAGATATTTTAATCTGGCAAGACAGTCCTCCCTGTTCAGAAAAGCCTGAACATCGTCCAGATCGTCGATGGTCGATTTTTCTGCCATTGTCACCTAGATGGAACACTAGCACTTAACACACCGCTTTCACTTTAGCACTTAACGCACCGAGCACTGTTCTACGTCAATATTGCACTTTATCGCGCCAAACACTGCACTTGCCAATATTGCACGTAATTACTCCGGACACCGCGCTACACAATATTGCACTTAATCACAGCGAGCACATCGCTCTACAATATTGCACTGAACCACACCGAGCACCGCACTACACAATCTTGCACTTAATCACAGCGAGCACCGCACCGCACAATATTGCACTTAATCACAGCGAGCACCGCACCGCACAATATTGCACTTAATCACAGCGAGCACCGCACTACACAATCTTGCACTTAATCACAGCGAGCACCGCACTGCACAATATTGCACTTAGTCACTCCGAGCACCGCACAGGACGTATAACGTCCTAATAGTCACACACAGGGGGAATTATTTACAGGGATTACGCTACTTCACCACCCCTGTCAAACAAACTTGACAAGGGGTCGGATCCCGCTGGGAATGCCAATTATGTTACGGCCCTCTCGGGTCGCAACCGGGTTCTTTCTCTGATGTAAGTAGAGTTTGGGTATCCGGCCCCAAGCTAGTAGTGGCTTTCAAGGGATGTGATCCGTAACGCAAGTAAATAAAAGGGGAAGGGAAATAAAGGCAAAAATGTAATAATATAATTAACACCGTCACCATAAATAATATAAAGATTATCACAAGGGGGAGGAATAAACACTATAATGTACAACGTTGTCTTCTTCTGAAGACTCTGGATGTTCACGGTGCTCACGATGCTAAGCTCTTGGTGCTCTTGTGGCCTTACGATGAATCCTTCGATTCTCTTCAGTCTACCCTGGCCACGGGCCAGCCAAATCACAGTTCCACTGGGGGCACCGTCGTGGAGGCTATCAACCACAAGTCCAGCCGGTAGCTGGCAGGTTCCAATCAGCGACGCTGGTTAGGCCACTCCACGACCGATACTAGGGTAGCGAACCCTAGTCAGGAGCCTCGTGTGATCCCACAAGTCACTCTCCTTTCCACAACACCCCAGTGGTTAAGCGTCTCCACCAGTCAGTCCCGGGTATGACAATCCCTCAACTGCCACTTCACAGGCAGGCTAACACCACAGTGTTCATCCGGGGGGCGACTCACAGCTGCTGCAGCAAATACTTGGAGACAAGATGGCTGCCTTGGGTAGACTGATCCAACTTCCATTACAGCAGTCCCAGGTCGACTCTGTAATCAGATACGTCATCAGTAATAGGGACACACTAAGGCACGTCACTTACCGGCTCAGACCCAAACGCCCACCTATCCACTCCATAGATGGCATTGCTGTCTAAGCGCCACCTCACCAGAGGTCAGCAGCGGCTGTGTTATGAGCTGATCATGACGGGAAACTAGCCCTTGTGGCTGGTATTTCGTGTCCTCACTTGATGGCGCCGTCCATTTGGAGGGGGTTTCGGGAGCTGACCCACAGATGGCGTGGTCGTCACTGCTCCGGGCTCGGACGCTGGGCTCGGGTCTGTAACACCTGTGGTTGCGTGAGGGCCCTCCAGGGTCACCTGTGGTGCGTGAGAGCCCTCCAGGGTCACTTGTGGGGCGTGAGGGCCCTCCAGGGGTCACCTGTGGGGCGTGAGGGCCCTCCAGGGGTCACTTATGGGGCATGAGGGCCCTCCAGGGGTCACCTGTGGGGCGTGAGGGCCCTCCAGGGGTCACCTGTGGTGCATGAGGGCCCTCTCCAGGGTCACCTGTGGTGCATGACGGCCCTCTCTAGGGTCACATGTGGTGCATGAGGGCCCCTCCAGGGGTCACCTGTGGTGCTTGAGGGCCCTCTCTAGGGTCACCTGTGGTGAATGAGGGCCCCCTCCAGGGTCACCTGTGGTGCATGAGGGCCCTCTCCAGGGTCACCTGAGGTGCATGAGGGCCCTCCAGGGTCACCTGAGGTGCATGGGGGCCCATTCAGGGTCACCTGTGGGGCGTGAGGGCCCTCCAGGGCCACCTGAGGGGTGTGAGGGCCCTCCAGGGCCACCTGAGGGGTGTGAGAGCCCTCCAGGGCCACCCGAGGGGTGTGAGGACCCTCCAGGGCCACCTGAGGGGTGTGAGAGCCCTCCAGGGCCATCTGAGGGGTGTGAGAGCCCTCCAGGGTCACCTGACGGGTGTGAGAGCCCTCCACAGTCACCTGACGGGTGTGAGGGCCCTCCAGGGCCACCTGAGGGGTGTGAGAGCCCTCCAGGGTCACCTGACGGGTGTGAGAGCCCTCCAGGGTCACCTGACGGGTGTGAGGGCCCTCCAGGGCCACCTGAGGGGTGTGAGAGCCCTCCAGGGTCACCTGACGGGTGTGAGAGCCCTCCAGGGTCACCTGACGGGTGTGAGGGCCCTCCAGGGCCACCTGAGGGGTGTGAGGGCCCTCCAGGGTCACCTGACGGGTGTGAGAGCCCTCCAGGGTCACCTGACGGGTGTGAGAGCCCTCCAGGGTCACCTGACGGGTGTGAGGGCCCTCCAGGGCCACCTGAGGGGTGTGAGGGCCCTCCAGGGTCACCTGACGGGTGTGAGAGCCCTCCAGGGTCACCTGAAGGGTGTGAGAGCCCTCCAGGGTCACCTGACGGGTGTGAGGGCCCTCCAGGGCCACCTGAGGGGTGTGAGGGCCCTCCAGGGTCACCTGACGGGTGTGAGAGCCCTCCAGGGTCACCTGACGGGTGTGAGAGCCCTCCAGGGTCACCTGACGGGTGTGAGGGCCCTCCAGGGCCACCTGAGGGGTGTGAGGGCACTCCAGGGTCACCTGACGGGTGTGAGAGCCCTCCAGGGTCACCTGACGGGTGTGAGAGCCCTCCAGGGTCACCTAACGGGTGTGAGGGCCCTCCAGGGCCACCTGAGGGGTGTGAGGGCCCTCCAGGGTCACCTGACGGGTGTGAGGGCCCTCCAGGGCCACCTGAGGGGTGTGAGGGCCCTCCAGGGTCACCTGACGGGTGTGAGAGCCCTCCAGGGTCACCTGACGGGTGTGAGAGCCCTCCAGGGTCACCTGACGGGTGTGAGGGCCCTCCAGGGCCACCTGACGGGTGTGAGGGCCCTCCAGGGCCACCTGACGGGTCTGAGGGCCCTCCAGGGCCACCTGACGGGTGTGAGGGCCCTCCAGGGTCACCTGACGGGTGTGAGGGCCCTCCAGGGTCACCTGACGGGTGTGAGAGCCCTCCAGGGCCACCTGAGGGGTGTGAGGGCCCTCCAGGGTCACCTGACGGGTGTGAGGGCCCTCCAGGGCCACCTGACAGGCGTGCGAGCCCTCCAGGGCCACCTGAGGGGCGTGAGGGCCCTCCAGGGCCACCTGACGGGTGTGAAGGCCCTCCAGGGTCACCTGACGGGTGTGAGAGCCCTCCAGGGCCACCTGACGGGTGTGAGGGCCCTCCAGGGCCACCTGTGGTGCATGAGGGGCCCCTCCAGGGGTCACCTGTGGGGCGTGAGAGCCCTCCAGGGCCACCTGAGGGGCGTGAAGGCCCTCCAGGGTCACCTGACGGGTGTGAGAGCCCTCCAGGGCCACCTGACGGGTGTGAGGGCCCTCCAGGGCCACCTGAAGGGTGTGGGAATCTCCCATCAAGTGTTTCTTAGTATGTTATTAGATGATAAATGGGCTGTATCAGTATTTGATTACTTGTTAGATATTTCCACTTCCACAATACTTGGGGGGTAGACTTAATACTGCTAAATCTACCTTATAATTTATATATAATTGAATCAATTCAATGTTAAATATTTGAGTAAATAATTTGTTATGGGGTTAGTAAACTACAATTATCCTAAGTGTGATTTACATGGCTTAGCTGTAACGCAGATTAGTAGGTATGTGGCTGATAATCCTGCGAAAGTCAGTCAGTTTCTAGGGTAGCGTGGCGAACACGTGACTCAAAGTTGAGGCGGCTGGCTCCCTGTTGTATCTCTCCACCCTGTGGAAAATATACTCTGTAACTCCAGTAAGGTTCATATGTATTCAGTTAATCTCCAAGAAAAGGGATTAACTGCCTAAAAGGCGTAAACTTACTCTGGATGTTATATTTGTCTTGCGGCGTAATGGCCGGTTATTCTAAACAGTAATTATGGCCGTAAAATCTTACCTGATAAGTAACCACCGACCGAACGCAATGTCCCTTGTTGCAGGAAGCCGGCAGCAACGTCTGGGAGTCATGGGTAGACGGATGTTCCCAAAATAACACGATGCTAATATGCTTGCTTCCACAGGGATCCGCGCGAGATGTTCCTGGTCTGAGCCTTTGTGCGCAAGTGACGCTCCCGCTTCCTCCTCTCTCGGTGCAGGCCCGGGAAATAAGTCACGTTATTCAGTTTGGTTCTGTTCTCTCCCAAAACGGTATCGACGTTGTATTACGTCTTAATAATACACTTCAGATACCAGCTGACAGTTTCCTACTGTTCATATCACAGGATCGAAGAGTTAGTAGTTTAAAACTCATATACAGAGGTGTTAAAGCGACGTGACTTTTATTCCAACCGGGAATCAGCTGATCACGGATGTGGACATTTCCACCTTGTGATTGAGTTTATTTTGTTTTAGATGAATTAAATCAATTTTCAATCCAAATTACTAAGAAAATGAAGCAGAGTTTAGACTGGGATTAAATAATTTGTTCTCATGGGATCTGGGGCGGCTGACGCAATAGCAGCCATAGATAGTAAGAAACTTTTGGCATTCCTATACTAGGAATAAATAATATTAGTAGATTTAATTTCCTAACACAATACTTCTGTATTACTGCGTTAGAAGTTAGTATTTGAGGTGTCAGAAATTTCCAAAAAGGGTCCTGCAGGGTCTCCTGTGTGGTGTGAGGGACCCTCCAGGGTCACCTGTGGGGCGTAAGAGCCCTCCAGGGTCACCTGTGGGGCGTGAGGGCCCTGCAGGGTCTCCTGTGTGGTGTGAGGGACCCTCCAGGGTCTCCTGTGTGGCGTGAGGGACCCTCCAGGGTCTCCTGTGGGGCGTGAGGGCCCTCCAGGGTCACCTGTGGTGCGTGAGGGGCCCTCCAGGGTCACCTGTGGTGCGTGAGGGCCCTTCAGGGGTCACCTGTGGGGCGTGAGGGCCCTCCAGGGTCACCTGTGGGGCGTGAGGGCCCTCCAGGGTCACCTGTGGGGCGTGAGGGCCCTCCAGGGTCACCTGTGGTGCGTGAGGGGCCCTCCAGGGGGTCACCTGTGGGGCGTGAGGGCTTTCCAGGGTCACCTGTGGGACGTGAGGGCCCTCCAGGGTCACCTTTGGGGCGTCAGGGCCCTCCAGGGTCACCTGTGGGGCATGAGGGCCATCCAGGGTCACCTGTGGGGCGTGAGGGCCCTCCAGGGTCACCTGTGGGGCGTGAGGGCCCTCCAGGGTCACCTGTGGGGCGTGAGGACCCTCCAGGGGTCACCTTTGGGGCGTGAGGGCCCTCCAGCATCACCTGTGGGGCGTGAGGGCCCTTCAGGGGTCACCTGTGGGGCGTGAGGGGCCCTCCAGGGTCACCTGTGGGGCGAAAGGACCCTCCAGGGGTCACCTGTGGGGCGTAAGGACCCTCCAGAGGTCACCTGTGGGGCGTTAGGGGCCCTTCAGGATCACCTGTGGGGCGTGAGGGCCCTCCAGGGTCACCTGTGGGGCGTGAGGGCCATCCAGGGTCACCTGTGGGGCGTGAGGGCCCTCCAGGGTCACCTGTGGGGCGTGAGGGCCCTCCAGGGTCACCTGTGGGGCGTGAGGACCCTCCAGGGGTCACCTTTGGGGCGTGAGGGCCCTCCAGCATCACCTGTGGGGCGTGAGGGCCCTTCAGGGGTCACCTGTGGGGCGTGAGGGGCCCTCCAGGGTCACCTGTGGGGCGAAAGGACCCTCCAGGGGTCACCTGTGGGGCGTAAGGACCCTCCAGAGGTCACCTGTGGGGCGTTAGGGGCCCTTCAGGATCACCTGTGGGGCGTGAGGGCCCTCCAGGGTCACCTGTGGGGCGTGAGGGCCATCCAGGGTCACCTGTGGGGCGTGAGGGCCCTCCAGGGTCACCTGTGGGGCGTGAGGGCCCTCCAGGGTCACCTGTGGGGCGTGAGGGCCCTCCAGGGTCACCTGTGGGGCGTGAGGGCCCTCCAGGGTCTCCTGTGGGGCGTTAGGGCCCTCCATGGTCACCTGTGGAGCGTGAGGGCCCTCCAGGGGTCACCTCTGGGGCGTGAGGGGCCCTCCAGGGTCACCTCTGGGGCGTAAGGACCCTCCAGGGGTCACCTGTGGGGCGTTAGGGGCCCTTCAGGGTCACCTGTGGGGCGTGAGGGCCCTCCAGGGTCACCTGTAGGGTGAGGGCCCTCCAGGGTCACCTGTGGAGCGTGAGGGCCCTCTAGGGTCACCTGTGGGGCGTGTTGCCCTCCAGGGTCACCTGTGGGGCGTTAGGGCCCTCCATGGTCACCTGTGGGGCGTTAGGGCCCTCCATGGTCACCTGTGGAGCGTGAGGGCCCTCCAGGGGTCACCTCTGGGGCGTGAGGGGCCCTCCATGGTCACCTGTGGGGCGTTAGGGCCCTCCAGGGTCACCTGTGGGGCGTAAGGGCCCTTCATAGTCACCAGTGGGGCGTAAGGGCCCTCCATGGTCACCTGTGGGGCGTGAGGGCCCTCCATGGTCACCTGTGGGGCGTGAGGGCCCTCCAGTGGTCACCTCTGGGTCGTAAGGGCCCTCCAGGGTCACCTGTGAGGGGGTCATCCAGGGGTCACCTGTGTGGCGTGAGAGCCCTCCAGGGTCACCTGTGGAGCGTAAGGGCCCTCCAGGGTCACCTGTGGGGAGTGAGGGCCCCTCCAGGGTCACCTGTGGGGCGTGAGGGCTCTCCAGGGTCACCAGTGGGGCGTGAGGGCCCTCCAGGGTCACCTGTGGGGCGTGATGGCCCTCCAGGGTCACCTGTGGGGCGTGAGGGCCCTCCAGGGTCACCTGTGGGGCGTGAGGGCCCTCCAGGGTCACCAGTGGGGCGTGAGGGCCCTCCAGAGTCACCTGTGGGGCGTGAGGGCCCTCCAGGGTCACCTGTGGGGCGTGAAGGCCCCTCCAGGGTCACCTGTGGGGCGTGAGGGCCCCTCCAGTGTCACCTGTGGGGCGTGAGGGCCCCTCCAGGGTCACCTGTGGGGCGTGAGGGCCCTCCAGGGTCACCAGTGGGGCGTGTGGGCCGTGCAGGGTCACCTGTGGTGCGTGAGGGGCCCTCCAGGGGTCACGTGGGGGGCGTGAGGGCCCTCCAGGGTCACCTGTAAGGCGTGAGGTCCCTCCAGGGTCACCTGTAGGGCGTGAGGGGCCCTCCAGGGTCACCTGTGGGGCGTGAGGGGCCCTTCAGGGTCACCTGTGGTGCGTGAGGGGCTCTCCAGGGGGTCACCTGTGGGGCGTGAGGGCTTTCCAGGGTCACCTGTGGGACGTGAGGGCCCTCCAGGGTCACCTGTGGGGCGTGAGGGCCCTCCAGGGTCACCTGTGGGGCGTGAGGGCCCTCCAGGGTCACCTGTGGTGCGTGAGGGCCCTCCAGGGGGTCACCTGTGGTGCGTGAGGGGGGCCCTGTCGTGAGGGGGGTCACCTGTGGGGCGTGAGGGCCCTCCAGTGGTCACCTGTGGGGCGTGAGGGCCCTCCATCCAGGGGTCACCTGTGGGGCGTGAGGGCCCTCCAGTGGAGGTCACCTCCTGGGTCACCGTAAGGGCCCTCCAGGGTCACCTGTGGGGGGTGATCTCCAGGGTCACCTGTGGGGCGTGAGGGCCCTCCAGGGTCACCTGTGGGGCGTGATGGCCCTCCAGGGTCACCTGTGGGGCGTGAGGGCCCTCCAGGGTCACCTGTGGGGCGTGAGGGCCCTCCAGGGTCACCAGTGGGGCGTGAGGGCCCACCACAGTCACCTGTGGGGCGTGAGGGCCCCTCCAGGGTCACCTGTGGGGCGTGAAGGCCCCTCCAGGGTCACCTGTGGGGCGTGAGGGCCCCTCCAGTGTCACCTGTGGGGCGTGAGGGCCCCTCCAGGGTCACCTGTGGGGCGTGAGGGCCCTCCAGGGTCACCAGTGGGGCGTGTGGGCCGTGCAGGGTCACCTGTGGTGCGTGAGGGGCCCTCCAGGGGTCACGTGTGGGGCGTGAGGGCCCTCCAGGGTCACCTGTGGGGCGTGAGGGCCCTCCAGGGTCACCTGTAGGGCGTGAGGGCCCTCCAGGGTCACCTGTGGGGCGTGAGGGGCCCTTCAGGGTCACCTGTGGTGCGTGAGGGGCTCTCCAGGGGGTCACCTGTGGGGCGTGAGGGCTTTCCAGGGTCACCTGTGGGACGTGAGGGCCCTCCAGGGTCACCTGTGGGGCGTGAGGACCCTCCAGGGTCACCTGTGGGGCGTGAGGGCTCTCCAGGGTCACCTGTGGGACGTGAGGGCCCTCCAGGGTCACCTGTGGTGCGTGAGGGGCCCTCCAGGGGGTCACCTGTGGGGCGTGTGGGCTTTCCAGGGTCACCTGTGGGACGTGAGGGCCCTCCAGGGTCACCTTTGGGGCGTGAGGGCCCTCCAGGGTCACCTGTGGGGCATGAGGGCCATCCAGGGTCACCTGTGGGGCGTGAGGGCCCTCCAGGGTCACCTGTGGGGCGTGAGGGCCCTCCAGGGTCACCTGTGGGGCGTGA